TCATATTTTCCGCAGATCGTGCATTTCGGTAAGTTCCACCTTTGATTATGTGACAGTGATAGGATCTGGCTGTGAGGCTTTGGTCCTGAGCTGCGATAATTAGGCCTTCTATTTTCAGCTTTCAAACCGGTGTTCCTCAACCAGTGATGTGCTTTCTGTTGGCCCACATTTGCTTCTTTCGTTCTTTTTATATATTTGCCATGCAACGCCTTGTCCTCCTAGTTTGTTTTTTTTTTGTAATTTCATTTGGCCAAGTTGTATTGCTTTCTGTTTTACTCGTTTGGTGTAGATGGTATTTGCTTCGTTTTCTTCTTGTAGGTAGAGTTTCAGGCATATTAAGCTGTTTCTTGAAGAGTGCAGCTTCTTTGTTGATGGAGTGGATTTAGTGTTTTACTATTGGTAGGAGAGGGTCATTGGTTTTTGTGAAATATGCTTCCAATCCGATTGTTGGAGTTTTTACAGTTAGTTCAGGTTGGATTAGACCTTGGCCTCCTAAAGCTCTTGGTACGTACAGCCTATCAACATCTAATTTTGGGTCGCGTATCCTCATTTGGTTAAGCATTTCTCTGGTCTTGGTGTCCAATTTTTTAAATTACATTCAACTTCCATTTAATAATGTTGAAGCTGTTTGTTACTGCGGGTATAGCTAAGTTGCTGTTAGCCTCCATTTTATTGGCTCCATTAAGTTCGCTTTCTAGTATAAAACGCACTCTCCTATAATATTCTTTTCGGATCTTTTTCTTCATAACTGAATACTGTATTCCGTCTTCTTCATTAATTCCTAAGTATTTGCATGTACCATCTTGGTCCAGTTCCTTAATATTGTTGTTGATATCAAGGTCTAAATCCATAGTTTTCGTTAGTTTATTACCCTTGAAGCTGGCTTTGGCACATTTGTCGATTCCGAGCTCCAACCCAATGTCAGATGAAGATTTTGAAAAATGGTGAGTTAGTTTTTCTGCAGATTGTCATCTTTGGCAAACGTTTTAAGGTCATCAATATAGAATAGGTGATTCGTTTGCCATTCTGTGACTTGTATTCGTAGCTACTGTTATTTCGTAGGCAGCTGAGAGGCGTTTGTATGGTTTTAGGTTTAGTGTTCTTCCAGTTTTTCATGCTCTCCGTTATAAATTTGACCGTAGTGGGGCATACTCTGTATATTTTTAAGTTCTTCTCCTATCGATAAGTTTCTTTTCCTTTATTCCCCTCTACCAGTATTGTTTTATCGATTATTATTATTATTATTATTATTATTATTATTATTATCATTATTATTACCATTTTTATTTTCTTTGATTTCTGACGTTTACATTTTCTTTTCGGGTCCCCCAGGGATCTAAGGTTAGAAATGGCGTCATGACACTTTCCACTGACAAAAAAAAAAAAAAAAACATAGATAAAGCCTTTCGTAAGGTGTGGGCTGTACTTGTCAGAACAATTTTTGTATCTCCTTGAGGCATGGACTTCCAGGAATCCTTTCAATTAGTCTACTGCAATCTTTTCCAACCAGTCCTGGGGCTCCAACTTCAACAGGGATTGTTGATGTTCCCATATGCCACATTTTCGAGATTTCTATTTCAAGGTCCTTGTATTTTGACAACTTTTTGAATATCTTCAAAGATACATTGCAGTCAGCAGGGACTGCCATATCAATAAGGAGGCACCGTTTTTGTTTGTGGTCTTTAATAACAATATCTGGGCGGTTGGACTTGATTGTTCTGTCAGTGTGTATTGTGTAGTCCCATAGAATTGTAAAAGGTTCTATCTCATCTCCGTAACCGGGTCTGGGTGGTGTTCATACCAGTTTCTTTCAGTTTCCTTCCCGTAGAAGTTGCAGATTTTCCAGTGCAGATATTAGCCCACTCTGTCATGTCGGGTTTTATATTCAGTGGATGCCAACACCGTACAACCTGATACAAGATACAAGATGATCAATCGTTTCTGGATATTTATCACAGAATCTGCATTTTGGGCTGACACAATATTTTAGTATATGGGCTTGATAATTCCTATTTAGCAAGCATTGGTCCTGCGCAGCAAGGATAAAACCTTCAGTTTCCGCTTTCAACCCTGCACTACGTAGCCACTGATGGGTACGGGTTTTGTCTACGTCAGCTTGTTTGGTACGGGCAGAGTATTGGCCATGAAGCGGTTTATCTTGCCATCGCTTCTGTAACTGGTCGGTTGCATTCGTCTTTGCTGTCTTTTTTTAAGTATTTTGCAGTTTCAGCCGGTGTATTGTGCTGTAGTTGCATCTCTACGCCCATTTGAAACTCCATTTTGAATTTGTTGGCTTCTTTTCATTACGGAGTAAAGACGCTTACTACTTTCATGTTCCTTGACGCATACCATCATCCAGTCTTCTGTGGTTTCCAAATATCTTTGGAGGCCAATTGTTGTAGTTTTGTAGGACAGTTCTAGTTGAACTAATCCTCTGCCTCCTTCGGATCTGGGCACATACAGACGATCAACATCAGCTTTGGGATGATGCATGCGATAGCAAGTGAGAAGCTTTCTCGTTTTGGCGTCCATTCGCTTAATTTCAGCTATGGTCCAGTTAAGGACATTAAAGCTGTATTGCACCACAGGGTCAGCCAATGTGTTTATGGCTGATATTCTGTTTTTTGAGTTTAGATCAGTGTTTAGTACCAGACGTACACGCCTGTAGTACTCTTTTCTTATTTTTTCCTTCATTTGGGGGTGTTGTATGCCATCTCCTTCGCTAATTCCTAGATTATTATTATCATTATTATTATTATTATTATTATTATTATTATTATTATTATTATTTTTCTGCTATGGACACACTACCTACCAAGTCTGCGGAAAGACCTAAGGCAGGTCGTGGTGTGTTGTTATGGCCACATTTCATGTTAATTTTTTTTTTTTTTTTTTTATCTCCGATGAAGTTGCTAGCGTTACATAGACAAAGTTCTCCTTAGTGTGTGTGCTGTACTTAATAAGACAATTTTCTGTATGTCTCTTAAGCTGGGGTTTCAGGGATTCTTTCAATGTGTTGTTTTGTTCCATTTTTTATAATTCCAAGTGCACCTATTACCACTGGTATTATTCTTGTTTTCAATTTCCACATTTTTTCTATTTCAATTTCAGGTCTTTGTATTTTGATAGTTTTCAAATTCCTTGGTTGCTATGTTACAATCCGCTGGACAAGCCATATCAATTAGTAGGCAAGTTTTTTTTTCTGGTTTTTGACAATAATGTCCGGCCTATTTGCTTCAATTTTTCTGTCTGTGTGGATGGTATAATCCCATAGAATGGTGACATCTTCTATTTCTGTAACCGGCGCTGGCCGATGTTCATACCAGTGTTTGCTTACACATTTTCCAAAGTGTTTGCACATTGTCCAGTGTAAGTATTGCCCCACTCTATCGTGACGATTTTTATATTCATTTGGGGCAAGTATAGAACATCCTGAGATTAGATGGTCTATTGTTTCTTGGTATTTGTCACAGAACCTGCATTTTGGATCCACATTATTATGTATGATATTTGCCTGAAAAATTCCTAGTGAAAAGACTCTGGTCTTGCGCTGCAAGAATAAAGCCTTCAGTTTCAGACTTTTAATCCAGATGCTCGTAACCATCGGTGAGTATTAACTTTATCAACATTGGGTTTATTTGCACGTTCTGGATATTGGCCATGCAGAGGTTTGTCTTGCCAGCGTTGTTTCATCTGTTCAAGGGCTTTATCCTTGGCTTTCTTTTTCATATCTTTTGCTGCAATAGTTGGTTCTTGGCTTCTGTTTTGATTTACTACAGAATCTACTAAATGTAAATGTTGTTTGTATTTACTGCCTTCTTTTATTATTGAATATTTTTTCTTTCTGTTTTCATGTTGTTTCACTAATTTTATCATCCAGTCATTTGTTGTTTCCATGTAAGTTAGTAAGCCAATAGTTGTTGTCTTGTATGACAATTCTAGCTGAATAAGACCTCTTCCACCTTCTTTACGGGGTATGTATAGACGGTCTACATCAGCCTTTGGATGATGCATCTTATACTTAGAAATTATTATACTTATTATTATTATTATTATTACTATTATTATTATCATTATTATTATTATTACTATTATTATTATTATCATCATTATTATTATTATTATTTTGGCCCTTTTTTTGCTAATATTCTTTTATTGTGGTATAATATTGATTTTCGATAGTGTTTATTTTTATTTATGTCCTCATTGGGGATATAGACGTACTGTTTTGCTAGATTTAATGCGTTGTTTAGTATATGTTAATTAATAGAAAGGTAGAAATCTTTTATGCCTAGTTGTGTGTAGGAGCAATTTTCTTTATTACTAAAGTTATTAAATTAGTTGATTTTGCTTTAGTATTTTTCCATAGATAAATAGATACGTAGATAGATAAAGATAGATGTGACTATATATGAAATTCAATTATAAGGACAATATATCTATGTAAATAAATATACAGGATGTCCCAGAAGTCGCGCACGATCCAGGTTTTCATAAAAATAAAAACACATAAAAAACGCCTTTATCGATCATAATCATAACAGATGCTCAGATTGTGCACCGCTTGCAATAAAACAAGCATCAATTCTCTTCATCAAACTGGTTTCACTTTACTGAAGTGGTGATCTGCGACGAGGTTTTTGCACGATTTCTGGGACAACCTGTATAATCAAGTATATCTTTAGAGGGTGCGAATGTCTGAACACATCATATATTCTAATGTCGTAATCCTCCTCATGCAAGCTGCTTTCAGATGGCTAAAAAAATAGTTAAAAAGCGAATAAGACATCTAGAAAATGGGGGAAAAAACGCAAGATAGACAGAAAGAAGTAAAACGTGCTGAAAATCGAACAGGAAATAGAAATAAAAGGAGTGAAAAACATAGCAAGCCACAGAACTGTGTGAATTTGTGATGCAAATACACTCCTTTTGTCGACACGTAAAGGTTATGTAACCCGCAAAGTGTGTAGATCCAATGCCGGGAAACGAATTTCGAAGAAATGTCTCAGGGTCACGTGTTATGGCAAGCGTACCTGTCATTGGCACCTTGTGGTCACTGTTTGTACTGTGATGGCGGTAAGAATTAAGCTACCTTGTATAAACAAGTAAAGAAATAAATAAAATTTACAACAGAATCAATCCCACAAAAGAAAAAGAAAAGAAAAAGTTTCCCGATACTGTGTGCATTTTTGCTGTCGGTAACTGTAACAACTGAAGCTATTTCCACTGAAGTTTTGCAATGATATGCATCTTGAGTTTTGTAGGCTTCTCATCGGTCGGAACTTTTGTCTCTCGTTATGGATAAAGCAATAACAATCTTCCCTGTACTTGAGCAGTCACATCGGCATTATATGAATATATGCATCTACATGACCATTATCTGGTCGCTTCCAATGGAAGTCAAATGGCAGCTCGTCTTCTGATATTTCTAGAACTCTCCTCAATAGATGTCTCTACTTCCCGAATATGTGGAGGATCTCGCTCGATATCAAGTGAAAGCAAATTATCTTTGAATCTACAGAACATACCTCAGTGTTCTACTGAGTGACTCTTTCATTGATTTTGATGTAAGAGGACACAACAGGAGAGTATAGAACCACAAAGATGATTTGATTTTAGCAGTGGAAACAGAGAAAAGAGTGCTGGATTACTATGTGGTATTCATCATCTTATATGACAGTGAATCTTGGACAGGTTCCCTAAGGAGGGGGAAAACCCCTAAAAACAGAAGAATTGTGGTTCTACAGAAATACTGACAATTCCATTGACAGAGCGACTAGGTAACAAGGAATTTTGGAATAAATGCCAACAAAAAGAACACTTATACTCCAAATCAGCAAGAAGCAGCTGACATTGCTTGGATATAATGAGGAAGGTGGGCTCGGAAAACTGAACCCTCATGGGGCATATTGAAGGAAAGAGAGATAGAAGAAGGCAGTGAACCACTAATCTGACATGCTTGCCTGAATGAATGGCAGAACGTGCCTTAGCAAAGGGGAAAAAAACTGCTAAGAGTCACACGTGAGATAAAGTTGCGGAGAGCCATGAAGAGGAAGAGAAGGGGTAAATCAAAGTTTATTGGAAATATATCGGGGAGGGGTGTAATTATGTATATTTCATTTAATTCCCCACCGATATATTTCCAATACTCTTGATTTTCCCCTCATCCTCCACCTTCTCCTTCACTTCGCTTATTTATTTATTTTTTTAAAAATATAACGTTCATAATTAAAAAATTTTTTTTTAAAAATAACGCTTTAGGGAATTAACTGACCGAAATTGCTTGAAGATGCCGAAAGATTGAAACCAAGGTAGCGGCAACGGCTGATTTCCTAATTTTCTAGACTACATGTTAAATTTTTATCTTTTGTATGCGTATTGAACACTTTTTTTTACTGCTGCTTCCTTGTCTAATTCGATTATGAACATTAAATTTTTTTATCATATATATATATATTTAATTAATTCATCGAATCTGATAGAAACCTCTACAGAATGCAGAAAGCACCGGACCGGCCGTTTCGTCCTATATTTGGGACTCATCAGCAGTGCGCATCCACTACCGAGAATTGAAACCCTGACAGCTAGGTTGTCAAGCAAACATCATACCAACTGTTCTACCGGATTGCAAATCAGACTCAATTTAGCGCCGGTCGACCACATATTCCGTGGTGGAACTCTACTGAATTTTCTATAACCATAGGACTGTGCCCCCTGGAGCCACGACTACTCTCAACAAGCCGCTCACTCTAGAGCATTAGAAGCCGGTTCAAGCGATGATAAACACAGACAGTAATTATTGGGAGGATTTGATAATTATATTTAATTAATTCATCGAGTCTGATAGAAACCTCCACAGAATGCAGAAAGCACCGGACGGCCGTTTCGTCCTATATTTGGGACTCATCAGCATATATATATATATATATATATATATATATATATATGTTTACGCGCGTGTGTGTGTGTGTGTGTGTGTGTGTGTGTGTGTGTAAAAGTTTAGTATATCTGTGAAAGGACAATATGAAAATAATGAAAACTTATCCTAACCGAAGCGTTTTGTGCTCTGAGAGACTCTATCAGAGCAAATGATAAGATTTTATTTTGCAACAAGTATTTATATAGAAGAGCAAAAATGTTACTGGTTTAAAAAAAAATATTCAGGAACATCGATTACTCACTTTCGTTGAATTGTGTTATTTGACGTCCCCCATAACTTTCCAAGACTTTTCGACTTGATGAATATTTATGGGCATTCTGAATCATTTATATATATATATATATATATATATATATAAGTAATAGGAAAGAACATTCAGATTTATCACTTAAAGTTCTTTAGTATTTTTGTTTTATTTTTAAAGTACAGCATAAAACTATAATAATTTTTAAAAAAAATTGTATCCATCGCGACACAGGAATTACTATATTTCGAAATCGAAACTCACGTCCTAAAGTTTAGTTTAAAAAAAAAAATTAAATTTAGAGTACGGTTTCCTTCTCAAGCGACTAGAATTAGAATAGTGAATTAGACATTAAATACATCGGTCTATTTATATTATACAACCTAACTGCGCACCGTGAATTAGACATTAAAAACATCGGGCTATACAGAGATGATGGCCTCATGGTAGTGAGAAGTTCCACTAATTTTAAAATAGATAGGCTTAGAAAGATAATCTATAGTGAATTCGGAAACTTAAATTTAAATCTACGGTCAACACAAAATTGAAAAGGGTAAACTTCCTCGACATAACATTAGACTTAATGAATAACATTAAAGAAAAACTGATACTAATGTCTTGTATGTACACCCCAGGTCAAACCACCTTCCGTCTATAATTAAGCACATAACCTCATCAATAGAGAAAAGAATTAGTATGAATTCTGCAAATGAAGAAATATATTATGAACAGAGTAATTTTTGCAACTAAGCTCTAAAATATAGTGTCTACAAACATCCTAACATCAGTTATATAAAAAATAATAGTACAAACAAGCGGAAAAACAGGAAAAGAAAAATCATTTGGTACACCCCACCCACGTTCAACCAAATAGTTAGGACAAACATTCCTAGCTTTAATCGAAAAACATTTTCCTACTAACAGCAAACTTAGCAAGATCTTTAATAAAAACACCCTAAAATTAAGTTATAGCAGTACTGAAAATCTAGAAAGGATTATAAAAAAACAAAAAACAACATAGTACAATATCAAATAAATAAAGATCCTAAATTAAAATTAGACAAAAATAATGAGAAATTATGCAATTGTAGAAACCCTGAAAATTGCCCTCTGAATAAAAAATGCCGCATAGAATCTCTGGTATACCAAAGCACAATCTCATCCACTGAGAATACAAATATTGAAAAGATATATATAGGATCCACAAAAAATGAATTTGAAATAAGGTGGAGACTACACAGAAGCCCCTTCAATAATATTAGAAACAGAAATCAGACATCCCTACCTATATATATATATATATATATATATATATATATATATATATATATATATATATATGTGTGTGTGTAAAAAAAAACGTGGCTAAGTAATCCAAGTAGATCCTATTAATATAAAATATTAAAACTGATCCAAAAAAGAGGGCTCAATATGATTTTTATTATAGAGAATATGAGTGAATTACGATCAATGAAACCCATTAATTGTAACACACACATACATACACACACACACACACATATATATATATATATATACTTAATACAAGTAAAAGGTGTGTCACTTAGCTGATGTTATATTCATCATACCGACACCAGAGTTTCGTAGACTGACCCTCTGGTAATCACTTCGTCTGTTCGTCAGGTGTATCACCAGGTGACTTTTTATACTCCTTGATTTTTCTTTTTTAAATGCACTTTTCATTGGGGCAAGATTTTTTGTCATAGTGTATGTGTCTGTTTGTGCGCACGCGCGCGCCCATGAACCTGTTGCAGTTATTTGTCCTTTTCGTCGTTTTCTTCTTTTTACGTTACATTCACTACTTATTGTTTTTCGTTTGTTTGTTTGTTTTTTTACTTGCTTTTCTCTTTTTCCTCTTTCAGTTGTAGCCATTTTGACTTACGGTTTTCGAGACATGCTGTCTTTATTAAAGATAAAACAACTGCGTTGGTGTAACCAAAAGACCACTTGCCAAAGAAAACATCTTAAATAAGAGAAAATTGCTAACAAGGAAAGAAAAAAGAAATTACCTAAAGACAAAAATCTATCCATTCAGTAAAGAAAAGTGCTCAACGCCTAGATTACCTAAGAGAAAAAAAAAAGCTTCAAAACGTTAAATCCTATTAAAGGATAGTGATTTTCTAGGCTCGGCTTAGATGCGGCAGAAGGCCGAAAGTATGGGGAACCCAGTGAGGATCGAATTCACTACTCATTCGTAATTGATCTAGCAAGCTTTCTTACCATTAAACCATGTCGAGGTGCCCAAATCCTGTTAAAAGATAGACCGAGTCGCTACTCGATTTTCCCGCGCTAGCGATCTGCAGACGACTAGAAAACAAATGAAAGAATCGGGAGTCTAACTTTATATACCTATGATTGTAATATACTTACCTAAAAGCATCACATTAAAATAATTTTATTCAAAAAAAAAGGGGGGGAGATACCTCCTCCTCCACAGAAGAAAAAGAAAATAAGCCAACAAAAAAGAAAATGTGAGACGACCTAACTAGTCAAGGTGACTGTACTATTAAGGGAGGGGTTAGAAATAAAAACAAAAAAACAAAAAAACAAAAATAATCAGATGACAAGTGACACAAGAGGTATTTTATATCTGTTAATTAACTTTGACTAAAGCTAAACCCAGCCTCCTTTCATATATATATATATATATATATATATATATATATATATACGCTGAATGTGTGCACTATAATTGTACTTTGTATCTGCAACACAACTTTTGTCTCTTTGGACCCACCCTCAAAGATAAAATCCAAAAACATGCATCTTAATGAACTCAAGGTGTATCTTTCGATACATAACATTGCCATTGCTTTCTGCGGTGTACCAGTTACTATCCAAGGCTATAGAACCCGGTCTATCCTGTTATTTGCCCATAGAGAGAGTGTGAAATATATATATATATATATATATATATATATATATGAAGAAAAATATACGAAAAAAACAAAAAAAAATCCTAATATGCAATTATGCTGTTTTAATGTTAATATAGTGTCAACGTCGGACGTTTCGGTCTAGTAGACCATCTTCAGGACATATTCATCAAACATAATTAACATTAGACTATATTTAATTCATCAAACATAATTAACATTAGACTATATTTAATTCAACATGAAAAGACGATGGGCATAAGAGTAAGACTAATCAAAACAGACAACTGAAATTTTTCAAGATCAGCGTTCTGTTTCAATATGATCACGTCGGCGTCACGTGGACGATGTTGTGAAAACGTATTTCTAAAATAGAGTATTTTGAATGAAAAATGAAAAAAAAATTATTTTAATCTAAAACTTATAAAATCTAAAACTGTCCTAATAGTAAATGACTTCTTATTGTTGTCATCCTTTGGGAGGTTATCCTATCTTGGGGGACATTCGGAATGTGCCTGTAAACCACACCTTCGTTTTGACCCAAACCAGCCTTGG